TAGTTAAAGTTTATGAATGCAATTTCGACCAATCAGATGGCTGGATTTCTTAAGTGAGGTATATAATATAGGCTATACATGATATCCTACACTCCCGTATAGGCCTAGGCCTAGCTTGATGATAATGATGTATATGTAGTAGTAGAAGTACTAGTAGTAGAAGTAGTAGTACTGGTACGTCACACGTATAATCTAACTTGCTCTTTGTTAAGATTTAGACCCTTATCTAACTTAGAATATTGTTCTAGGCCTCTAGTTATAAAGTAATTATAATGTTCTCACTTACCGTAGTCTCGTAAAGAAATATGCAGCAACTTTTAAACCAAAGTCAGGGACTATCAGACCGCAAGTCTTTGGCAGAATCTAGGACTCGATGAGACGCCGTGTACTAGATAGTGCGGCTAGGCTCCGTATGGTAATTTTAAGGCAGCATAATAACACAAATACACATAAAATCCTATAGAGATTTGAGGGTGAGGGAAGAAAAGCTTCTGACAATCTATAACCGAGCGTAGATAAATATGACGTCATCGGAAATCCTCCGCGCTAAAATGATTGATAGCCAAAATGTCGTTTCATCGATTTTTCGGAATTGATACAAACGTCGTAGGCCTACACGGCATTTGAAATTGATGTTGTGTCATACTTCCTACGGTCAGTAAGCACGGGACCAGTGTCATAAGATTCGTGTTAGAGCGATTTTGTAAAAATATTGTCGTGGTGTCGGGTCGTTTTGTAGTGTGTCGTGTTTGGTGTGCAGAGTCCTTCACTGTCTGATAGATACCCAAGACGAAAATCCAATTGAAACCAATTGAACACCAATTGAAATTTCAATTGGTTTCAATTGGTCTCAATAGGTTTTAACAGGTTTCAATGGGACCTCAGATGTTTTCAATTGGTCCAGATTGGCCCCATTGGACAAATTGGCCCCATTGGCCCCATTGGCCTAGGCCCCATTAGACTTTAATGGGTCCCCAATTGGTTTCAATTGGTCCGGATTGGCCCCATTGGACAAATTGGCCCCATTGGCCCCATTGGCCTAGGCCCCATTAGACTTTAATGGGTCCCCAATTGGTTTCAATTGGTCCGGATTGGCCCCATTGGACAAATTGGACCCATTGGCCCCATTGGCCTAGGCCCCATTAGACTTTAATGGGTCCCTAATCGGTTTCAATTGGACCAATTGGCCTTAATTTGGACTTCAATTGGTCCCATTGAAACCAATTGGCCAATTGAAACTAACAAATCTAGGCATCTCATGAATATTCATTATCACTTTACACGCGTCACAGAAAAATAAATTTATCATGATTTGTTAAGCAAATCATGACAATGCACATCAATTTTGTGATTTCTTTATTCCTTCAGCAATTATTAACCAATAGATTATTTTGTCTGATCATGTAACAATTACATTCACGTTTTAGCAATAGATATATTGATTTATATATTGATTATATGATTACTAACCAAGAAACAATATACATATTTAGTATATATATTTGTACGAGCGAATGTCACTGTAAATGAAACTCTTGAATTCACTTCAAATGATCTTTGTGATGTAGTTAATGCAAATGAGATTGGAATATACCTAATTGGTGGACAGTTGCCAATATCGATTATGAAGAATCAATAATTTATTACTGGTTCTTCTAACTGGATCGATTTACCAATTGAATCCCCATTGAATGCCCCCATTGAATCCCAATTCAATACCAATTGGCAATTTGGAGTAAATGGAAAGTGAAACAATGGGTACCCATTGAAACCAATTGGCAATTGGTCCCCAATTTGGAGTAATTGGAAAGTGAAACAATGGGTACCCATTGAAACCAATTGGCAATTGGTCCCCATTGGTTTCAATGGGTACCCATTGTTTCACTTTCCATTTACTCCAAATTGGATTCAATGGGGATTCAATTGGATTTTCGTCTTGCGATAATCGAAAGGGCCAACACCCCCCATTTAACATATAAACCTAAATGAAATGTGCGGATTTTGGTTACATTAATCAATATACAAGTTTAAAAATTAAACTCATCTCGTGAACGCAAATAACAAATTACTATGCTGTTGGTTGAGCTGGTGACAACACTCAATCTGAATCACTGATATATAATTATGGGTGTAATTAAATTTCTAATGAACAATGATTATACAAACAATAACATAAACCTAATTACGAAGTTAACACAATTTCCCACTCTTACAATCAGGAATAACCGAATCTCTGAGACCGGCGGCATCCACATCAGTCGACATTGCTCCTCAAGATGCATCAGCAGCAGCCGGTGAGGTTTATAGATCTCGAGCCAGGTTAGAATATGTTCCCTGATGGTCGAAAAGTAATCTAATTGACCCTCCCCCCAAAAAACAAAAACAAAAAACAAAACAATCTTGTTCAACTGTTGTCCACTTTCAGACCTTATTTTTAGTTCAGTTATAATCAAAGGACAGGTAAGTTTTGACGTCGAAATACCGTATGAAAATATGTGCTGATATCAGCAACTTCAGAACAATTGATCTAATTGAATAAAAATTACTTAGGTCAACATCGAAAGAAAAGAATTCAGCCGAAGTAAATGAATGGTATGTTGAAAAAATAGGGCTGGTATTTAATAACAAAATTAAAAATTTGTCTTAAGTCTACAAAAATGTCTTAGAACATGTCTAGTTTAAGAAAAATACCTTAGCCATAATCACTTCGTCTTAGCTAAGATGACAGACAAACAAAGACTAGATGACGTAATGTTGGAAAGTCATTTTGGTCGAGTCGGGTGACTCAACTGCAGCTCAGTTTGTCTATGCTGATGGAAGTCATTTTACCTATTTTCTACCATCCGGGCACATTTTAAAATAGAACATGTCTATCAAAGCTCCTTTTCTGACGATATGAAAATAAGCTTGACCCTGACAAAACGTGACCGAAATGGTCAGAGTGGGCCAAAAATAGTTGTCAAAGAGACCGAATTATCATGACGAGGGTCAAAAGGATTTTTTAAAACTATCAGCGCAAACTTTTACCCCGAATTATTACAAACTATTTAAACCTATCCGACTAAATATTCTGATTACAGCTCTTTATCTCTTACGGTTAACGGCTCTTTATTTACCAAAGGTTAGGTACATTGAATGCAAAAATCTGAATACTCAGTGCTAAAATGTTATCATTAATGTTGGCCTTTCTTTTCAGAACTCTGAGTGTTAACGAGCAACATGAATATGAAGGTAAGTATCCTCTTGATATCTTTAATATTATTACATATATCTTAGTATTGGCAAGTAAAGAAATGAAACATGTTCCATGTTCAAAATACAGTTAGTAGACCATTGAGAATAAAAATGAATATTGAATCGAATTGAAAATATTTTACTTGATCACCTAACAAACTTATATCATCATGCACATAATTCGTATGACAATAATGTATGATCCTGACGCTGTAAACTCCTTGGAATACTATAACACATTAACAGCCACCCCGAACTTAGTGCTGTACTGATTTAAAAGGAACATGAAAAATATATATGTTTATTGGCTCAAATAAATTCAAATGAAACAACGATGACCCTCAATATCACTGGCAGATTCACATTAGCAAAAAACATAGGCTTCCAGAAGTCCTGGAGATTAATTTTACTAGGAGTAATTTCCCTTAAAAATAAATTTCTTAAAAATTGTTTATTGAAATTATTTCAATACACCATGCATTAAATATTCAAAGTACCCAAGGTAAGATCTCCTCGCATCCCGTAGGCAAATACCATTCTGAAGGGATCTTTGACCAAACCGGAGGAGAGCTACATATTCCGTCATACGGACTCACTCTGTCCATCCCCCACGGTGCATTGCCAGAGGGTTCTGGTAAAACGATAACGTTAGATGTTCTCACAGACGTCCCACCTGAAATCACTCTGAGACACGACGAGACGCTTGTTACTTATGGCTTCCGGTGTCTTCCGTCAGGATTACAGTTTGTATCGGAGAAACCTGTCAGATTGAAGATTCCCCATTGTGCCAACCTCATTGATCCGGACAAAGTGCAAGTCGTTTTGTACTCCGTTAATCACGGTAAAGCATTGTGATCAAGAAACCGAAAGTTAATTAGCATGTCTAAATTAGAAGAAAAAATGGTTTGATTTGTAATAATCAGTGGTTATAATTACATACCCTCCAACTATTAAAATGGACAGCAATTCATCCGTCACCATTTACATGCATGCAAATTATAAATAAACTAAACCGAACCCATTTAAGCAGATAGCCGTTTAAAAACTGAGTGGAGTAAATTAGAGGATCGTAGATTGACAACAAGTGATTATTCTGCTGGGCGCTACAACAGGGTGAATAAAAGTACATGCAGTAGAAGTAGTAGTAGTAGTAGTAGTAAATAAAATGATAATAATCATACTGGTCGTAGTTATAATGGTGAAAATGATGATAATAATATATATAATAATAATGAACATAGTAACAATAAAAATAGCAATATTGATAATAATAATGATAATTATATTACTAGTTATAGTAAACAAATATATATATATACAAATTTATAATAATAATAATTATATCATATTTATAATAACACTAATTATAAAAAATAATAATGATAATAATGGTGTTGTTTACTCCGCAAAAATCTTCACGATCAATGCTATTCCTCCTAATGACCCAGCAATAACTATTACCACAGCAATTGCCAGGTAACCACTGCAATATGAGAGGCGATTAGCAAATCACTACTATTATAACTACGACTACAACTTAAATCAACATAGAGGTTCATATGATTGGTGATGTAACTTGAAATAAGTTCTTTGCTCTCAAACAGGGGGGGGGGGGGGATATGAATTAGGTCTGAAGAAGCTTTCAGTACAGCAAGTGAAAGCTTACCAAAACAGGTAACATTTCAACTGATTTTAAAGAAAGAATATGTATCATACTCCTTCTATTTGTGGTGGGCAATTCATTTCATTTTTCATTTTTTACAGAAGGGGAAGGTGATCGCATCGTACAAACTTCAAGAACCTGTAGGGTTACATCCAACGATGTGGAGATTGTACTGGAGCACTTTTCAGATGGAATTCTGGCCTTCATTAAAGACTGGTTTTCCATGAGAGACAAACGAATGTCCTTCATGCCTTTTCTTCAAAAGATTATGCCACAGTGTAGGGAGATGATGCTCCAGTTTCGTATGGTCAACAAACCTCATGGAAACTCTTGGGTATGGCATACATATCTGTCGTACGAAGTAATCTCAAACAAATGTTTCTATAAAACCCTACATCCATCAATACTCATCATGCATTGCTCACTAAAATAATAATAATGCTTAGATTGGATTGGCTTCATTGTTATTAACATGAAAGACTTAAACTAAATCCTTGCCATTTGTCATGACTACAAATCCATGTTAAGGAATTAAATGTATTCAAAGGTTCGGTTTTGCAGGGTGATTTGTGTAATATGTATTAACTTAGCTTTCAGTATGTAGGTAGTCCATAAAAAGATTACATAACTTGACCAGGTTAATAATGCAAATAGAGTCATGACCTGGTTCACCCACACTTTCCTGCACTCTACAGTGTGAGTAAAAAAAAAGGTTTACACCTAGAAAACTGCTAATTATTTATAAATCATCTATGAACATTAAATTACTATCCATCTTATGAAAGAATGTTTTATCCCGAATTATTTAGTACCAGTTTTGTGTGGTATATGTTCCGTGACGCTTGGATGAACAGGAGGCATTGTTTGCGTAAGTGCAAAAATCGACTTGAGCCAAAGTTGCTTAGATGTGATGTTTGAATACAACAATTAGGATTTTGGTATTAATTCGGTCATTGCAGATCCAAATGATATCCCTAACCCAAATTAACCATGCCACGCATATCAAATATCGAATATCAAATATCAACGAACATCTTTGCGTGTGTTTCTGTGACTTTGCTTCTGCAAAAAGCATATGCAATGCATCTAATTTGATACATTCAATTAGTCCTCTCACTTTAATCCCAACATATTACATACTGTAGGCATCACTATATTGGGCAAGTAGATTTGTGCTCTCTCGTAAACAATGCTTCCTGTTCATCCAAGCGTGAACACACACCACCAAAAACAAAAAATACCGAAGCATTTGGGATAAAACGCTTTTTCATAAGATGTAGAATAGTTTACTGTTCATACATGATTTATTTTTTTAAATAATTAGCAATTTTCTAGGTGTAAACAGTTTGTTTTACTCACACAGTAAACACTAGGGAATTCCCGGCAGCCAAGTTTTGTCACGTTGTGCCGCGTTTAGTCACGATTTCTTCACGACTGCTGCGCATTTTGTCCCGTTTTGCCACGTTTTTTTTAACGGTTCTCACGCCAAGGTAGGTTGTATGGCAGCCGTTTTGTCGCGTTTAATCACGGCTTCCCGGCGTGTGACGGTCAACGGGTCCGGCGCGCTACAGCGCGTTGCGTTCTACTACGGTCTGACACAGCGCGCCAGATCTGGGAGCGAGTATATAAAAGCCAGGGCCGGCAGGGGAGCTTCATTCGAGCCTGAGCATTCGACAACACAATAATGCATCTACAATACGAAGAAAGAAGACCAAGCTTTGAAGAAAGAAGGCCAAGCTATGCCACCGAAGAATCCAAGACGTACGAAGCCCCCCCCCCCGTCCCGCACCACCACCACCTGTAGATGAGCAGGTGCAGCCTGAACATACCCGCCGTTCACCGCCGCCAGATGAAGAGGAGCGTGCTGCTGCTGCTGACCATGTCCCGGTCTCTGAACTGAACCTGAACCTGTGGCTAAGGAGGCTAAAGAAGATGCACCTGCTGGGAGGAGGGCAGAGCGAAACTTCGTGTCTTGTCTCTCGTTGGCTGGTGTTACCCTTCCTAGGATCTCGTCGAAGAGCTCTGGAGGCATCCTCAGATAGTTCTGGAAGGCGTTGACATCTTCGGTGGGGAGCTCTCTAGAGAAATGATGGGTAGTGGCCCAACTGTTGCCTTCTATCTTCCGATTATCATCTGCGCGCATCCACTTGGATCTTGGTCTTCTCATCCGCCTTCTTCCCGCCAGATGCACTCTGGCCTTGCCTCTCTGCAACTGCTGCTGGCCTTCTTCTTGATGACGCAAAGACTGGATATATGCAACCTTCAAACATGCAAACAATAAATCCTCTTCATCTTGGGCATTCATGATGTTGTCTCGTCGAAATATCAGGATAGTACACTTATTGATGTTGCTTGGGAGGCCTTGTTTATATGCAACCTTCAAACATGCAAACAATAAATCCTCTTCATCTTGGGCATTCATGATGTTGTCTCGTCGAAATATCAGGATAGTACACTTATTGATGTTGCTTGGGAGGCCTTGTTTATATGCAACCTTCAAACATGCAAACAATAAATCCTCTTCATCTTGGGCATTCATGATGTTGTCTCGTCGAAATATCAGGATAGTACACTTATTGATGTTGCTTGGGAGGCCTTGTTTATAACGTGGGCACAAACGTGCTCCAAAGCTGCACGGCGTCCACGTATAATCCGTAGAAAGCCCAGACAGAACATGAAAAACGTGTCAGACCTTGATCAGAACGTGAGAAACGTGAGGGGCCCAACACAACGCGACGGGCCAGTAGGGAACGTAACGGCATTCGTGGTAGACCGCAGGCCGCACCGTAGTGGCCCAGTCTTGGTAAAGTTACAAGCAGTGTTAACTGAAAGATGTGTATGGGACTACGCGACACGTTCACGATATCTAGATGGTCCAGATAGATATAATAATTTACCAAATATATCAATTAGTAGGCAGTTTCCCGGCAAAATTTGTATCATCGCGTATCAGTCAAAACAAATATTCTTTCACATGATTGGTAATAAGAGCTTCCATTTCATTTTTTTGAGAGGGGGGGGGGGGGGGGCGTTTTCCAAACTGGTCTATTCCTTTAATGTCTATTACGTCTATCCCATTTTGTCTATGGTGGCCTGAAACCTGAGTGATGTGGCCGCCGGGAACATAATGTAAACGGAGCATGATTCTCTAAACCTCTCTCTTAACAATATCAAGTAGATTACGCTTCCTCTCAATTTTTCTTCTATCCAATTGAAACCCAACAGCCGTTTTTCACAACTACTTGTGTTCTTTATAAACATCGAATTGTCACATTACTTTGTCACAGAGAGATGTTCATGTAATCGGAGACCAGGCAGAATATCAACCCGTTAAAGATGATGACGATGAGATGAATGTCAAAGATGATGATATGGCAGTCATGTGCCAACTAAGTGATAGAGCCACACTTACAGAGGTAAGAATCCCCCCCCCCCCCCGCCTGAGTTTTTAGACTGGTATCGACTGTATTAAGAATAGTTTGTATTCTAATTATTTATTCCCTACATCTTATTGAATAAACCTTAATAAGTCGACCAAGTAACGCATGATGACACAATTCATTTCTATTCCGATCGTCTCTATAGATCATGCCCTCATTTTAGATTCACTTGTAATTTTGTAGTCGGCTTTTTCATATATCAATTATTCGCCTGCATTATGTTCAAGCATATAAAAACAAATGAGGGTGTGTTTTTTTAAATTTCAAAATCCTCCTTCAAGGCCTACTAAACAGCTTTTTAAAGAGTTTTAGGGGGAAGTCATTTATTAATCCTAAATGATTTGTATTCATAATAAATCATTAACGGCAAAGGGGCCGACTTGCAGATTTGTTTACAACCACGATGTACAACATAAAATAATTGAGGCAAGGAGGAAATAAAGAGGGAAAATGATAATTTAAAGGAAGGAGTGGAGAAAGTAGTAAATGGGACACAAAAGTGTTAGTGATCACCGCATCCCCCACGCAAGACAATAGGGACTTTTAGATTGAGTGGACGTGAAGGGCGTGAACGTTCACTGATCATGCGTGTCCACGGAAAGCCGTTTTAATATGTATTCCTATTTCTTGATAGCAAGAATTCAACTTTTGATATGATTTTATGTTGTAAAGCAATGGTAATTCTTGATATCGAGAAAATGATTTTCTGTTGTATAGCAATGGTAATTCTTGATTTTAAAAAATAGGAAAATGTTAAAACGGCTTGCCATTGACACCCATGATTAGTCGACGTTCACGCCGTTATCGTCCATTCAATCTAAAAGTCCCTAATGTGCCATTCGGTGATGGTGGGCACATAAAATAATTACCATAATTATATAAAGATGGCATGCTCCGGCGTTTAACAATAGAAAATTTTAGATTTGCACATCGACATTGTGAACTGCTACGTGTGACGTTGTGCCTTAAAAGGAAGTCACAGTGCCTTAAAATGACGTCACACGTAGCAGTCCACCATGCCGACGTGCAAATCTAAAAGTCCCTAATAACAAAGTATATGAACCGACAATTTCAAACGTCCCGAGTGGTGTTTAATTTCAACGAAATGCAGGCTGAGCTGTACATTCAGGTTTGCTTTACGCAGATGCTCGACGCTAAGAGATTACAAACAATGGCGGTGTTCTTTTAATACAAACAAGTAACCCGTATGACAGTAGAGACTTTTAGATTGAGTTGACGAGAACACGACGAACGCCGACTGATCAATAACTGCCCATGTTGACTACACTAAGGGAGTTTACAGATAGCACATGGTACAAATGATCCCAAATATCCACAGATCTTTTACACATGAAGAAGTTCCACTTTGAGCATTTTAGAATAACAACTGCCAAAGTCCTAGATGTGCTTCATGAATACCTTTTGTTTGACCTCTTGAAAAGAATACTTCCACCTGCGTATCATAGAATGTACCGTTGGTGCATAAATGAATAATGTTACATAACTTTCATGAGCGCATATCTAGTATTCATCTCTGTGGGTTTTACCATTTTGGAACAAATGACCTTTATCTGCCCATGCGCAGATTGTATCTGTAAACTCCCTCATTATAAATCTTTTAGATTGCACTCGACGATATACATGCATGCAGGAAGTAACACTATGAACATCACGGACAAAGAAAGAGGACAAAATATACAGTTCCTCATTCTACCCTCAACAAAAGAACATCCCTTCACTGCTATTATGTAAAAATATGTAGAACAGGTGAATATGCATGTGACACCTGTTCTACACATTTTTACATAATAGCAGGGAAGGAGTGTTCCTTTGTCTACCTGAGGAACTGTATATTTTATGCGCACGCGGCATACTAGTACCTTGAGCATGTAAAGGCGCTATATAAATACCAATATGTATGCATGTATGTACTAGATTTAGGAAAATCAAGGTTGACGCATTCTCGATCGCCGACTGAGACGACGTAACACATGCGCAGTGCCCTAAAATGACGTCACACGTTGCAGTCAAAGCTGTGGACGTGCAAATCTGAAAGTCCCTAGTAGTCTTATTCAGACGGAGGCAAGTTACCCTGGGGTGTTAAGAGCTAGTCGGGGTAAATATGGTGAGGTAGGTGTAAAGGCCGAAGTAGTGACCGTCTAAACGATGGTCGTGTTGGCTACGCCTACCTTTTCCCCGACCTATTTACTCCTGGAATTTTCCGGGAGTAACTCGCGAACACGACCAAGTGTAGCGTATGTTGACCGTGTGGATGATCTCACTTACACCCGGGAGGATATGTGACCTTTCACGAGCCATCTATACACAGCGTTTGGCCAACTTGGTATCACGGGGTCACAACATGGCGTATATTAATTATTTTGTTTTGTTTTTGCCCAACAAAGCAGTAGTCGCCACATATAGTGTCCAACTTGAACCGGGTTAGCCAAACTATATGTGTAGATGGCTCTGCGTGAGTTACGCTGATCGGTGGAAGGTCGTGTTAAATCAATCGTTGGAAGTTGGTCCGGGTAAGAGCGTGTGGACAACTAATGGTGTAAGTGAAATATACATGAGGTATTTACTGCTGCAGGGATGAATTGTCGCCGACTAGCAAAACCCTGTCTCAACAAGAGCAATCTAATAATGCGATAGCAATACTCTGTAAATGTCTCTTCGTTATGTTATAGAGAGTTATTTGGTTGTTTTCTCCTGCAAGGGAGGCAAATATTGCTCATGCTTCATGCGGCGGCTCAGATTCTTATTCAAAGACAAGCACATAGCTGTAACTTATCTATTATCCTACCCCCCCCCCATAGTACCAGTGTATTTTATTCTTAAAATGCAGATAATTATCTTTACTTTTGCATGTTATGTAATTCATGTGTAATCCCCTACAAATACATTCATTAAAAATTGTGTCAATCATATCTTACTGCGAATTGTATCATATAAACGCTTACTTAAATCAATTGGCAGAATGTCGATGCAAGCCTCATCCGAAATACTAAGCATACCGTCTACTTCGATTTGGATTTTAACGGGAAAGCAGATGACCTGCCGGTTAAGCTGAAAGTGATGCAGTCGATGATTACGAAGGACATCAAGTTCAGAACACATGTTCTTGCTCATCGAGGTGGGTTATATTTTGTTATGCTTATTTCTTTTGTTCGATTATAGTAAATGAGGCTCCGTACTTCACTTTGTCTATAAGCCGTAACTGTATTAACAATGATACATTTTTGGGGGAATTGATAACCAATACATTGAAGTAAAGTTTAATAACATTCGGTAATCATGTTTACCTCCAAAGTCCAAAAAAATTTGAAAGGCTACTGACGGATAAGATATAAAACGGGAATCTCGACTTCGGTTCTGTTTATTTTTAATATAACATAACTTACCTTCGACTGCAAATATTTTCAAACCGATCGAATTTAAACCAAGTTCCAACCTCTGCGAGAGGTTGGGAAACTCTTTGGCATTGACGGACGTTATGAGTGTCATGGACCCTCATGAACTTTAAATAAAACCTTTGAATTTCCTATTCAAGGAACATATACTATGTTCTTTGTCCTTTTTCTTAAAATGTTTATTTTGTTTTACTATTTCTCTTCACCTCCAATATTAAGAAAGATGCTTAATGTAGATGTAAGGATTTTGCTTACATTAATCAATACAAATGTATACGATTTAAACTTAAACTCACCAACATGAATTATATTTTGATCGTTAGCAGATGACAACAATATTAAATAAAATGAGGCAAAAAATTTAATCAAAGACAAATTATGATTTGTCTTATTGAATCGTAATTAAATTGTTAATGTAACATGAATATAAACACGATAACATGAATATAAAGAATTCGTAGTTTAACAAAGTGAACACAATTTCCCACTCTTGAAATAGGAATAACCGAGACATCACCAGGAAAAAAATATTCCGCATCCCCGAGACTGTCGGCATCCACATCAGTCGACATTCCTCCTCATGGTGTGTCAGCCGCAGCCGATGAAGTTTATACTTCTAAAGCCAAGTAAGAATTGTTTACTACGCGCTAATGTCGATAAACGCCAATCCCTATTTTAATATCATTAATGGGATAATTCATTTCTTACACAATGATATTCCGATATCGTTTTAGATAAGTATCTAGTGTAAGCCAGGCATGGATCAAAAGGTATAAGCGAGAATTATCATTATTGTTTGCGTTCTGTTTCAATATTTTCATTTAACGATTTAATTTGCAATGCCATCGTCTAAGTCCAGTTTAACTAATAAACAGATTTGTATAGATAAATATAATTTGGGGATCTTACTGGAGTGAGAAGGAAAAGAATAGAAGAATACAATTTGAAAGGATTTGAAGAAAAAAAAACGTTCTCTTGACACTCATCAATAATTTTTATTTCAACTCCTGACATCCACGCTACACAAAAAGAAATATACCTTATAATAATAAAATGAGAGAGACAAGAAAGATGAAAAGAATTAGATTCCATGCTTATGCTTCGGAAATATCCGGGAAATCTTATCAGATTAGGTATTTATGAGGCACGTTATACAGTGCGTCCCAGAAAAAACGAAACCGAGAATTATCGGTTTTATTGTCACTTAGTCACATTTATAATTACTAAATGACACATATTTAGAAGGCTATTATTTATGATTGAAAATCCAAATCAAATTTTGCGTTTGTCAAACGGTTTTTATAACACTACAGTCTATAGGGGAAAATGAGTATGGTAAAACCGGTCACTCAAAGATTTAAAAACAAATTTTTTGAGGCACTTCTTGATCATTTGGAAGCGCGAGTTTTGTAGGGCTTCAATATTACACCATATCACAGACACTGACTACATGTAGGGCCGTGCATCTCAGATTTAACATTGTTAAACGATGCCATTAAGAAACAGAACGGGAAATAAACATAAAATAGAATAGGATTCTAAAAATTCGAATAAATTACATCGTCCATTTACAGACTTATGTTTAACATTCTTGACAACTCAGAATAACAGCGCCAAAGCAGACCAATATGTAAAAGTTGGCCTTCAGATTTAGGTTCGCCCCCCCCCCACAAAAAAAAGGGAATACAAGTAATATAATATAGATGATAATAAAATAACAAGTAGACACAAATATATAAACATGATTATGAAAACATTTAATGTGTAAATAAATAATTAATTAAAAAAATAATGCTTTACAAGGCTTCAAATATTCAAAGATAAATGCTCCAAAGGCCTTCAGAGCTTACAAAAGAGTATCTACCAAAAGCTTAAAGAGAATTGAAATATAGATTGACGAAGTCTCCTCTGACAAATCAAGCTCCTAATTTTAACTTTTAAAAATTAAATTATCAGATTACATCCCCCTCAATTAATGGAGAGCTGCTTAAGGAAATTGTGACAAAACGTCTAGGCATTTATGCTTTAATATGCATTTGTATTTTGTAACATTACTTTGTTTCAATTTTGTTGAACAAAACATAGGCTGCTTCTGAGCCCTATTTGTTGGTCTCCAGGGAACGTATTATGTCATGACTAGCACCATGTTATTAAAAACACATAATAGAAATATGGTGATTTCCTTTTATAAAACAAATTTACCTCAAATCACTTTTTTTTCCAGTGATACAATGACCATCTGATGTACAAACGAACATGCTTAAGAGCGTTGGTTGCTGTGTGGTCTACTAAGACACATACACACACCAATGACATATCGGACTTTGTATTAACAGTTGTTTGTCTGTTACCATAACTTCATTTTATGAGGATTATAATTATACCAAGGTTTTGATTCCTAGTCGCAGCTCAAACAGATGGAATATGGTTTATTAAAGAGCCTAAGTAGAACTTTATAGTCCGTATATGTATGTATGTTGATTGAAAAGAGAAAAGAATGAGAGTAGGCACATTATCAAAAGCCGATATCTGCTGGAACATTAAAAAGCTCTTGCATGTACATTGCGATTAAAGTGGAATACCGGTACTAGACATACATGCACATGATATGATATCACTCAAATGCAAACTTCAACAACGGCGTCGAATGCTGATTTTAAACAGTTGTTTGATGTGAGTGCGCGGAGTGTACATTGGACGGTGTGAAAGAACCCCACAGACACCCAGAAGTGTGATCACTAAATACTGCTCTTTGCTCAAGCTGATTATGCAACCATCTTTTTTTAATGTTCATTTGATGCTGATGAGAACACATCCAAAAATCAAAATATATTGTTATGGAAAGAAAATATCGATCTCATCCAATAATCAAATGGATGAATTTCGTAACATGAAATTAAACATATTTATGGAGCGGAATATTATTTTGCTGGTAAAACCACGCGTCGCTGACGTTCTTTATAAATGAAGCGATATTCCTACGAGTATAGGATTACGCCTCTTCCACACGACTGCCAGGAGCGTAATACGGTCGAATATTTCGCAAGGGGCGGGGCATAGATGATACCCTCTTTGTCACTCCAGTTCGGATAAGCTAGAAGCCCCTAGACCCCAATCCCCCCCCCCCCCACCCCCTTCCCGGCCACCGCACAATATATATACTGGTTGTATATGCTCATAAATATTGTTTTGAACTAATAAAGCTGAATAAGTTGATCTGCATTGATCGAAGAAAACGAAAGGTAAAAGCAAAATGTTATCATGTCAATCGATTGTATAGAGTTCTGCCTTACCTCTAACATTCTCACCTCTGACATTTTTAACTCTGACATTTTTCCTCTAATATTTTAACTCTGAAATGTCGACATCTAATCTCTTTTTTTTTTCTTCTTTTTTTACCTTTGTCTGTTTAATTGTTTCTTTTATATAAACAGGAAAGTGAGCGGCGCGATGCTAAATAATTTGGCAAGATACATTCCAAGCTACGCCTACATTCAGTTTAGTGAAGAGCTTGGAATCGAGCACAACCAGGCCAAGAACATTGTGGTTAAGTATAGCAGCGACTATGAGAAGGCAACGAGGGAATGCATGGGGATATGGATGGATAAATCAACCCGTAGTGTGGCTGACTTACATGATGTTCTGAGAAAAGTTGAACTTGGGGGTTTAATTGTTCACTTTAATCAACAACAATAAAAAGGATACGCCATATGGGGGGGGGGGATTGTCGGTTAACAAACACTTGCGATCGCGAACTGATATATATATATATTTATATATACAGTGTATATGTATATGTATATATTTAAGAGATTATTATGTTTTGCGAGGGAGGGGATACGTATTAGACCCAAACACAAGAATAAAAGACTCTGTTGACATGAATAGAGGTGACAAAGATCTTTATCCCATCCGGTTCCTTCAGGATATATATCAATATAATGTATAATGATGTAATTAGGCAGCCATACATGAATGCCAATGGAGTATTCTCATATTCTTTGAAAGTGAAACATGTTTTGAATTATTTTAGAGATTTTTTCTTTCATGAAGTGCAATGTGTTCTTTTTTACACTTAGTTATGCCTCCGCCCACCGAAAGTGGTGGAGTAGGCTTCATGTTTCCGGGTTGTCTGTCTGTACGTCCGTCCCGCTTTCTCTTTATCGCAATATCCCAAGAATCACTTACGTTATGAACGGTATGTATCGCCATAGAAAGACAATCTACTTATATTGTGGAGTTACTAGGTCAAAGGTCACGGAGGTGAACTTATGACATTTCAAGTTTTTGCTTCTTTATCGCGATATCTCAAGAACCACTACAGATGCTCAAAGTTGTTGATAATATGTATCACCCAAGGAAGACAACCTGAAGATTTTTGGGGTAGGTCAATGGTCACAGAGCTCAACTTCTGATATTCAAATTATGAGTCTCGTTATCGCAAAATCTCTAGAACCACTAGAGATATCAGGCCCAAACTTGGCGATGATATGTATTATCCTTGGAAGATGATCTGACCAGTTGGCATTTGGTTATAGGCTTTTTGTTTTAATCATGATATGTCGTGAATACAAGCACCCATTTCCAATCATTTCCGAATCGTATCTAACCTTTGACTAGGCCCGAAATTCAGGTGTATTAAACAATTCCATGATTACGTAATTATTACAAATGGGGCATCATTGTACTATGGAATAAACAGGTTTTTCAATGCTACCAAGATTAAACGTCAAGTATGATAATGATATTCTAGTACTTAGGATGATAGACATCAAAGCTCAAAATTGACTGCAGAACTTGTTGAGGATTTATATCCATCCTTATCAATAAAATTGTGTAAGAGAATATAGGTTTGCAAATTTCAACGACGATTGCATAGTAGACTTGGGTAGAGATTGGATTTTACTGCATAAGTCTGCACATTATATGAGTGGATTTTCTATGCATACATATATATATATTGTATATGATATCATACTGATAATGGATTTGTGTGCATAAGTCAGCACATTATAATGATGAATATCCAATGCATATGAATGTAATATCATATCATACTGAGATTGGGTATTGTGCATAAATCTGCACATTAAATCTAGTGGGTTTTATATGCCAACATGTATATATTTTTATATATCATATTGAGATTGACTGATATGACATGTCATATGTTTTTTTTGTGTCGAAATTAAACTTCCTCAGATATGACGCAGTAAACTGCGGTGATTTGTTTGATTACGTATAAGTGCAATACGCTTCACCTTTTTGTATCTGATTACACAGAACTAAGTGAGCACATTCGGGAACTTTTTTACGCGCTCTAGATAGCTGTTCATGTTATACACCATTGTCAGAAATTCATGGCGTGTATTTTTTCGCGGTTTACCGCAGCATATTAGACCAAGCCTTAAATGGATAGTTGAGTTATGTTGCAGAGGGCGCTACACAATTGTTCTTGTGTTGGTGAGATAATCAAAGACTGAGTGTCAAATTTGAAAAAACATACAATTTAAATGACAAAATCCTCTTTGTTTGATCAAAATCGGTTCAGAGATGGCTGAAATATGGCCATAAATATAACCATTTCTAATATTTGTGTACCACCACAAATATTACATAATTTGAACCAG